CTGCCTAGTTATGCAGAGAGGTATGTAGCTCTCCAAATGTGTGTAAAAGTGTAAGCGACAAATAGTAAGAGTTTGAATACAAAAGACAAGTGTATTAACTAAACATCTCCCAGACTGTTACATTTTGGATTTTTTTAAAGGATGAAAGAAAACTCCAAGTTCAAATTGTTTAAGGCTCAGTGAATGGGGTCCTCAGGAAGATCTGTCAACTATTTGGCTGATGGATCACTAAAGTTTATTTTGTTTGGGCTCAGGATTTGAAGAAGGTTTGGGTTTTGGTTTTTTTTTTTTTTTTGCAGTCTTCCTGATACACTAGAATTTGTGCTGGATTCTCTATATCTAAAACTCAGATAAACCCCCCCTTCCTTTTTTCACCTATCAGTTCACATGGAGAAATGAAAATGTAAAATAAAGACCAGGATGCATGTAAAATCTCAGGGTTTATACTTTCTAAGATGCTTCTATCTAAATGCAGATTTCTGGGAAAATATCCTAGAAAATTTACATCTAGCATGCAAATCTGTGCTGTATGGAGAATTTCCAGTCAGAGTTCTTTTAAACAGAGTGAAACTTGCATTATGTTTTGATTTGAATACCCAGGAGATTGAGAAATATCCTGTTCTCTAGTTATCTGTGGCTCAAGTTCAGTGTAGCCAGTACTGAGCTTTTCTGTAATAGCCATGACTTCTATACTGGTTTAGAAATAATTAGTCCCATTCTTAACATGGTGATAAATCTGTTTCCATACTTATCCCATTCAAAAGTGGAACTATCAGTCACAGAAAAAAATTAGTAAAGAAATAATCAGTAAAAGTTATTCTTGTCATAAATACATTGGCTTCAAAGCACTTAGACCAGGTTCAAAATTTATCCAAGGGAATTTTATTATTTAATATTAATAGCGCAGCACCCTATTTCAACATTAAAGGCTGGAGAAGCAGTACCAGAATACCTGGCAATGTGTGAAACCAATGACTTCATGGTGTGCTCATTTGTAGAGTAATACCTACAGTGCCTTTTCTGCTGATACCTCTTATAGGCTACTGCAACTACTGGTCACTTCCTTGGTGTCTTGAAAGCATGAATTATGTTCCCAAACTTTCCTTACTTTTTTATCCATCACATCTAATTCAAGGTAATATTTAGTGGTCTGGGCACTGTCTTGGGCACAGGAGTTTCCTGGGTTCTATTTGCTTTGATAGCTACGATTTATTTGCTGGCTTTAGCTATTTCATAAAATGACATCAATATCTACAACAAGTTGTGGGTGTGTTGTTGCCAGTGGGCTTCTACATTTGTTCATATGAAAGGCCACTCATCTACAAAGCAAGATGGGAATATCTAGTCTTGAAACCCCAGCTGTCCTCCACAAACAGTTGCAAGAAAAAAGGAGGAGGGGGGGACGTGCTAAATATGCTGAAATACTTATGGTGAAGGACTGTAGAGAACAAATCCTAAACTGGAGGAGTCTTCATAGAGAATGGATCTAGAGCTGGTCATGCTTGTTTTCAGTTGTGGCTTGTTTGAAAGGCAGTTTAACTGAACTGACATTGTAAAGATAGTCACAAAATTTCACTGGAACACTTTTAATACTACCTCACAATGTTCAAGTAAGTTAATCTCACTCTGTTAGAAAATGTCTGATGTACACAAGTCAAGCAAGAGCAACATCTAGCAGAAATACCGGTGGGCTGGGGTAAAATATGTTGTCCAGTTAATCTCCAAATAGTAGGTTAAAGGTTCTGATTTTTAATAAAATTTGGTTAATATGCCAAAAAAAACCCTGTGAAGTTAATAAAGGTTGGCTCCCTAAAAGTGTCTGTAATCATTAGATCTTTCTCTGATCATGCTATGAGCTACTGCTCAAGTGCCCCCAAAAGCCCGAATATCTTCACAACTTGTAAGATACACAGAAAAACTTGCTTGGCCAGTGCTGACTCAGAAACAAGTTGAATATTCAGACAAAATGGAAAGAAAAAAAAAAGATGCTATATCAAAGCATCTTTAGTTTAAATGGTTGAAGCTTTCAAGCTTAAATTAAACAAAGCACTTAAGCATGACTTTACTGGGTCATAAGCATATGCTTACATGGTTTTGTTCAGCATAGGTTTATAGTACAGTGCAATATTCTTCTTCAAAGTTCTCAAATAAGAGCAACAATTTTATTAATTTCCTTTTTTTCTCCCCTGCCTCTTTAATTAAGGGTTGTGTGACTCTGCAACCAGTACAGCTTGTGGTACTGCAGTGATATACTAAGAAATCCATGCCCAATTGGACACGATAACTTGACAATTTTGCTTTGAGTGTGAAAGTGTTCATACAGTTCTACCATCTAACACCACTGACACTTGCTTATTCTATCTCACACTGCAGCTGTTTGCATGCTGTTTCTTCTCAGCTTCACTCCTGTTCTCTACTTTCTGACTAGCTAACTGGTGTTGGACCCAACTGCCACTCGAACACTTTTCCCTTCCCTCCACTGGCAACAAAGGCAGCACAACCCAGCTTCCAGTTTCACATTTAGTATATAAGTCTGAAAAATTCCAGTCTGACTATATCAGTCACTAAATGAAAATGATGAGTGGGCTTGATTCCTGGCATCTTGTGCAACTGCTTCTGAAGTTGAAGGAACAATGTGTTGTAACTGAGCACCCTGTTTGTCCCTTACTGCTTAATAAATATATCTGATCTGATACCAACTCCAAGACTGACCCTCTTTCTGAAAATTGAATTGTTCCTCTTCAGTGCACTATGGGCATTTATTAGGCTAAATACATGAAACTGCTGTATACTTATGTGGGAAAGAGAGTGTGATCATCACTTCAGTATTTGCAGTAGAGCATCTACTACCTGCACAGTTTATACCTCTTCTGCTTCTGAAAACTGAGAATCAATAGAATATATTTTGTTTCCCTTTTGGATCTTCTGCAGTGGGTACAAGCAGTCATTTTTTAAAATGGCACTCACCAACTGTCATCTTTTAATATTCCCACCTCCACTCCATTTCCACACAATACACGCACATGTACACACATACACACACTCTGCAGCCCTTGGAATCCACAGTGAGATTTGGTTTTACTTACAGAGGATACTCTGCCATGACTGTCACCAAAGTTATATAATTGGAAGGAAACAATAAGATGACAGATTGCTTGTTCTAAATAATTGGATAGACAGGGTAGCAAACAGTGGGTTATGAAAAATATTCCTCAAAGGATGTCAAACTTCAATAACTCACATAACAAAAAGACACTGATATCTGTCCTCCTGTCACAATGGAATATATTTAAGATCGAATTATAAATTTCTACCTCAATTTTTAAATCTTTTTTAAGAAATAGAGAGTGAAAAGCCTGAGGATTGCTGCTGAACTTCTATTAAAAAAATGACACAAAAATGCTCAACTGTGTGTTTAGGGCAGAAAGTTTCTAACCTTTAAACAATGTGAAAATATCAAGCTCAATACTATTAGTTTTCAGTCAGCAGAGCACACAGACTGAAACTGAGCACACCCTGACTGAAATCACAATTCTGGTGTGAGAGGTGCTATCCGCATACTTTGCAAAAGATAGTCCTTTATTACAAGAGATTTTATCTTCTACACTGTTGTAGAGGTCAAAGAAAAATAAGTGTTGTATGCCACTCAACTGTATTGGTGAAAGCTTACAATAAAACCCAGTTTTGCAGTTGCCCTATCAGCTAAACCACACTCACTAGCTGTCACTGGTTGCTTATTTTTGTATATCCTAAAAACAAGGACTTATACAATACCCCAGGATAAAGGGTGGCATAGTTGAAAGGAGTAAGGTATATCCATCATCCAATTTTACTGTTCACATTTTAGAAACAAGCCACACAGGTTTGCATTTTCAGTGACATCCTTCCAAGCACTACAGAAAAAATCTGGAAGCAGATTTCACATTCAAAAGCTGCTCTGCATGGTTATTTGTGGCAGCATGACCAACTGGCTTGTTACTGGGAGCACTTGCTGATCCTGGACACATTTACCTTCCTTAGCTGGAAGCTTATCCCCTTTCTGATTGCTCCATAATAGATTAGCAGTTGTCTCCATTTACATACACACAAAACAAGAGTCACTTCACTGAATCCATGCTCAAGAGTTAGAAAATGTAAAATCTGAATTAAGATTTTATCTGTGATTTTACCTGTGATTTTACCTGGATCACAAACCCACAGGAAGGTATGCAAAGATTTCCACTGACATCAGTATTCTCCAGATCAGTTCCTACTCCAGCCTCTGTGTAGCATCAGCCTTTTCACCAGTACAAGCTTACTTATTCACCAGAAAAATGTTATTTCAGCACATTGGTGGGCTCTAGTGTTGTTCATTTACTATTACTCTTCAGTTTGAAAGTGGTACAGGCTTTGAGACCATGTCCCCATGTTCTTTACTTCTTCATTAATATTTTCTGTAACTGTATAGAGTCTTACTCTACATTCATTTCAGCAGTAAATGAGCACGGGAAGTGCAGAGTCTCTCACTGTCATCTTTCTCTCCCACACATTCACTCCTTGAGTAAATCTAACTTGAGTTGAAATTTGATATGATCAAAGATTATACACAGTGTTTCCTGTAAGCAGCTGTTTCATATAAATTTTGTTTTTCTTTGCTTCTTTTGTTTTGTGCAATGCTGTGTGATTATCTCTAAAAACATGTATGCTGGAGAAGTTTTATTTGCAGCTCTACATCTTCTTATTTGAACAGACTCTACAAGAAAACAATGTAAATGGTGGGAAAAATTACAAAATACTGGTTTTCAATAGGTTTTCAAGTTCAGCCTAATTAAGGCTGAAGGTTGTCCAAAGAACATATGGGAGAATAGTTTTCAAAATTGCATCAAATTAATAATAATTTACAAATCAGTGAAAATAAACTTTTATTATGCCAACTCTTAGAAAAAGCCAAGAATCATAGAATATCTCAGGCTGGAAGACATCCATAAGGATCATTGAGTCCAACTACTTGCTCCTTGCAGGACTAACTAAAACTAAACCATATCATTAAGAACATCATCCAGACACTCCTGGAAGTCTTACATGTTTGGTGCCATGACCACTCCCCTGGGGAGCCTGTTCCAGTGGCTGACCACCTGCTCAGTAGAGAACCTTCTCCTAATGTCCAAACCTACTACCTTATTCTGCTGCACTACTTTTTACCTGTAAAATTCTGTACTTTTCATGGCTTGGAGTCTTTGAATCAAAATTGTACATTGATGTAAAAGTTACACTGTAAGTTCTACACAAGTTATAAGCATTATACAGAAATTCTCTGGTGTGGTTCTAAAGCCTGTGTGATTCCAAATTGTGGACAATGTAATTGATATTACACTATGTGTAACCCAAAGCAGCAGCAACTTCTTGTAGAAGAGTTCTTTAGGCAACATTTTACCAGAGAACCACTTTGTGGGTGACCACAAAGCAAGAAAGTCAAAATCCTGCTGGATTTAAAAGCAATGAAACTCAGAATCTTAGTCTATTGTTTGCTGTTTGGAGATTCTAGTAAGGGATTCCATTAAGGGAAATAGATAGTTCCATTGCACCCTGCTATTTATAATACAATCTACCATCACTGCAAAGCAACCTCTAGAAAGAGGAAAATAAAAAGAAAAATAAAAGAAAAAAAGAAAGGAAAGGAGAGGAGAGAAGAGAAGAGAAGAGAAGAGAAGAGAAGAGAAGAGAAGAGAAGAGGAAAAGAAAAAGAAAAGAAAAGAAAAAAGAAAAAGAAAAAGAAACAAAAGAAACTTTCCAGGCAGAAAGTAAGGCTTCAACAGTCTGAATATGTTTAAACTGCTGCTGTATGGTAGCATGAATGATGTAAGGTGAAGCATATGAATTGCTCATCCCTCTACAAATAAAGTGCAGTTTCTGCCAAGATATCATGCTAGTTTGTGTTAACTGCCAACCATAGTTGTCTCCAATAGGTTACAAAAAACATTCATGTTTAAGATATATTAATGGCACTGCGTTATCTCATAATAAAGTACTTGCAAATATGTGTCATTGCTGCACACCCACATGGCACCTTATTATAGGGCATATGGTACTGTATGCTTTTACTAGGCAGTAAGTGGACTAATTAGACTGTGCCTTAAATAGGTATTTAATTTTAAAGGGCTTCATGATATTTAAGTATACATTTGGTTTAGTGAACAGAAGATGCATTTTCCTAACTGAGTTCCAGACAAGTAATTCATATTTCTGACCGTGTATTTTGATAAGCATCTCAGAAAAACGAGGTGTTAATTTTTAGAAACAATTATCATCCTGACCTTGATGATTAAGTATGATAATTAAAAGACGTTGTGAGTAATATGTTTTATATCATAAACATTCCTTTCTGATTTACTTACTGAAAAAAATGCCATTTTAGAAAAGGAATGAGTATTTTTTAACATGATTAGCAAGCCATCTGTTGACATTTCAGTACAGTCTCTTATGAAAGTCCCTAGCTTACTGCTTCAGTTTTAACATAGGAAGAACCCAAAATAGTAATGCCTTTTGCAGTTAAATCAGAATAAGGTGATTTTGAAAGGGCAGATTTAAGAGAACAATAAAATGCATAGTTCTTTAAGTTCTCTAAAACTTTCATAATGAAGGCTGAAGGCAGGGGGAATTTACCCCATTTGGTTATTTTGGGATTGATTTTTTTTTTTTTTAGGTACTGGAAACTGGTCCAGATTCCACAAAAAGATTAGCTGATGCTGGCAGGCTTTTCAGCTAACCTCATCAGAGTTTCAAGACATCTTTGCTAAGTTAGTTTCAACCTGGGTGACACTTGGGTGAAACCCATGCGATTAGAGACTTAACACTAGGCTTTTTTCTCTTCAGAATCACCCATGCTGAAGGGAAGACAAAGGTGCTTTATGCTTCTCTTTGAAAGCAGGACAAGCTACCTCACATTTCATGCTTGTTGAAAATGTCCTCATGAAGCACTTGCACAATAGCTGTATTGCAATTCACAACCTCACTTAGCACACACAGACTTCTCTCTAAACACATGCTGAAGATGAATGAAAAAAGACAGAAGTCAGTACATTCTTATTCATCTCATAATTACAGACCAGTATTATCACAGTGAAATTAATTGGAAATTCCTCAACTCTGATTCACCACTGTGCTAGTCCACTTATGGAAATAGGGACTGTCCCTATCAAATCTCTGTCAAAGACAGAGGATTTAGCTGTTTTACTTTGAAATTTGGGGTTTATCTGAACCTGAATCTCAGTAATATCTAAACAGGTGTATATTATGTCCCACATGCTACTGGTGTCTGCACAACCCCAGCAAGCACAATTTTATAGGTCTAGTATTTAGCATTTGGGAATGAACTCAAGAAGATCAGTCAGAACTGACTGATGTGAAACAATCCAAGTTTGATACACCCCACCACCGAATAGCAGGTTTCCAGTGACGCAGTTCTTTGTTCTGGGGAAGGGCAGCAAATACATCCACAGAACTGAGAGTCCTCTACAGAGCTTGGATCAGGAATATATGGCTTTTTTCACACCTGCAGGGACAAAGATTTTTCTAAGGACCCACAAGACGAAAGCAAACATGGGAGCAAAATCCACTTTCATGTATTTCAAGCCCATCTCCAAAACTGACCCAATTCCAGTTTAACTTTCAATAAACACTTTCTTTTTTAATATTTTTTATACAATTTATCTTCTCCCACCTGCTTTCAATCTCCCCTCCCCACTACTGTTTCCTATTTATAAGAAGTTATGCAGGAAAGGGAAAAGGCAGTAACCAGCTAGCCACAACTGGGAAAGGAAAATAAAAAGGAACTGGTGATATTTTTTTATTTATTTACTCATCCGAATTTTTCTCAAAAGCATCAGTTAAGCAGAGCTTTGCAAAGACACTGTTGACTTCCCTATTGTCTGTGAGGCTTTTGCAGATAGAAAATAGCTCCAGGGATACTCTAATCTCCCCAAGCCACCCAATTAGCATTCGACCCATTGCGAGAAGTCTGTGCATTGAATTTTCAGTCACCTGGGCCTGGTGGACAGCTGTGAATGATGAATGTTTGCTTGTTCTCAGGATATAGGGGTCCTAAGCAAGTGGACAGCATATGTACCATAATTTCCTGGCTAAACACTCCAGTTCTTTGCTAATTATTAAAGATACAGAAGCCTTTTCCTCTCTCCCACTCTGTCACTTCCTCTGCCTTTCTCTCTTTATGTCTTTGTTCTGAGCAGCAGCTTCAGCAATGGAAGAACAACAGTTTAGACCCACAGTGTCTTGTTTGATTGAAGTCAGTTGAGTACAAAAACTTTTGGTTCTGTTATATCATCATATATATGTTCTTCATCACAGAGAAGCCAGAACATTTCTTCTGTCACTTCGCAGGCACTATCTCACCAATATCTTCTTGCATAAAGTAAGCAATTAAGATTGCACCGAACTCCTCTGAAACACTGATACCTCTACTTTGGGCTTCAGTGTCTCTTAAAGCAAATCATGCACTGAGCTCCTCTAAAATACTGACACACCTACTTTGGGCTTCAGCATATCTTAGATCAAATCATCTTAATCTAATCAATTCTGTGTGTTTGTGTTTGTGTTTTGCTTTATATATTTATATATAATCTTAAACTAATTAAGTTTGATTTATTTCTGGTTACTTTTATAATTGAATGTACCTGGGTAGAATGGGATTTTAAAAAATGTTAGACAGACTAGGGCAAAAAGATGAGAGGACTTTGACCCAATGCATCATTTCAGTCATATCCCACTTTTAATCTTTTCTTCTGTGCTCTTACAAGCAAGAAATATACCCCAAAATATAAAATGAAGTAAGCATTAAGGGCTCATTTATAATCCCCAATGCACAACCAACAGAAAATCTAACTTGCCCTTCTTCCCATGTGTGGCTTATTAGAATCATGACATCTTGCAGGATGGCAGTGAGATCAGTCACCCCCTCGGAGGAATGGGGAAACGACAGACAGTGGATGAGCTGTAAACCCACCCCACTCCACCTCACTGCTCTGGTCCTTAGCCAAGAGCTAGGTTATGGCGTTTTAATCTGGTTGCCACTCTTTACCTCCCTGCTGGTATAAGATTGCTGTGCTCACTCCTATCTGGCTTCCATGAGATCTGTGTGAGCTCTGCCTACTCTCAACCTGAGGGGATGGCAGCACCCACATTGCCACCAGGGAACGGGCATCATACCTCCCTGGACCATGGCAGGGACTCACAGCAAGTGCTGACTTTGTTCAGATTTTAAGTCAACTCATTGCTTAAATCTTTGTAACGAGTAGACCCATGTTTTAGCATATTCCACATGTACACCGATGTTTCAAACCCAGAAGACTGTAAAGAGTGAATTCCACTGAACTCCTTTTAATGTGGTCTTTTGGCTGTGGCCAGAAGTAATGCACTCCATTTAGAAAATGTTTTGAATGCTTTCCATGGTCATTGTGAAATAACAATGTCCTTTGATTAAAAAGCCATATCAAAGCTGAAGGGGTGGGTAGCACAGCTATCTCCAAATAATGTTTCAATTAGATTTTAAATGCTATCAATAAGAGAAAAGAAATTACTCATGCACAGAGATCTTCCCCTCTGCCTGATCGCTTGCTGAACCTATGCAGTTACACAACCCAGAGAGACTTTCTTCATTCAGAAGGATTTGTGTTTGTGTGTATGTGTGCATGGGGCTGGGAGTGAGGAGGGAGAGGTTAAACTGCACGGAAACTTAGCCACTGACTGAGCTCCTTTGAGGAATTTAAATGATCTTCTCTATTTAAATGAGTTTTTAAAATGAGTTTTTAAAATTACCCACTTAACTTTTTTGAGGTCTAACAGCATGTTTTATTCTTAAAACAATAACTTTCGAAAGGAAATGCTATAGTGTCTTTCTCTGTATCTGTGAAAAAATGCTAGTAGCTGGCTTCAAACCAGCAGGGTTTATGCATATGACTGTGGGCACAATTACCGCTGTTTCCACAAAAACACAGTGATCTGTCCCTTACCTTTCAACTGACCACAACAAACAATGCATCAATCAGAAAGCAGATATGTCTATGTACTTACTTGTCTGGCTCTTATTGCTTCATGGCTCTGATCATCACAGTAGTATGAAACCTTTCCTAATCCACCTACTGTCCCTTCTCTTTTCTTATTAATTTTGACAGTGGTAACTGCTTGAGCCTTTTGTGTCATCATTTGCCCTTGACTCTATGGAAGAGTTTGGAGATCTTTCAAAGGCTTGGCCTGTTAGCGTCAGACTGTGGCAAGGAAGTGGATGATAACAACATAGAGAAAGGTCTGCCCTCTGGAACTTGCTTTGCAATTAATTCATCTATTCTGCCTGAAAATTAACAATCTGTCTAGGAG